CACATGAAGTTCAATAAAAGAAAATGTTCGTTGTGCTTTTTTCTGGACGTTATTGCTACTACTCATTTCACGATTATCGCTGAGAACAACGTTGTCAGATAGAGGATATTAAGAAGTGACCACTCCAGGTGTCAAATATGCCAGATACACCCTGCCACCAGGCACGGCGCAGAGCTCTTTCACGGATTGAAGTAAGAATGGCAGCGACAGTGAGTTATGGTCGAGCACTCACTGTGTGTGCGGCGCTGCTCTGAGCGCTTCCTAAGCATTAAGTGATATAAACTTCACGCTGGGGAACGGTGGATTTGAACTTGATCAAAGTCCTGCAGCCAGGGGCTCAGTGGGAACACAATCCCCGGTGGGTCCATCTCAAAAACCTGCACTCTGAACCCCACGCCCCGTCCCCACCCCGCACCACCCCCACCCCGCAGTCCCGCCTGGTGGAAGGGAGGCATCGGCCAAGCCCTGGTAGGATTCTGAACCACATCACAGGCCAGAAAGAGGAAAAGCCAGAGCTGGGAATGTGCTGCCAGGGCTGGCCACGGGGTGAGTCGCCTGACACCACAAAAGGCCCCTGCGGTCAGGGCCTGGGGCTGCAGGTTCAGCCCCAAAAGCCCGTGCCCTGCCCGGGTCTGGCTCAGGGGGGCAGCACCCAACCTGTGTGGAGAGACCTGGCCCCCGCTGCCTCCCTCCCGAGGGTCGCGTTTCAGGCAGGGCGGCCTCAGACCGGCCCTGGCCGGGGCAAGGACTGAGCCGACAACTCCAACAGGTGGCCCTGACCGCCCGGGGACACCGGACGCCAGCCGCTGATGGAGGTGCGGTCCCTACATCTTCCAGGATCCTCTCTCCGAAGTAAAAAGTCGGGCTCCAGGACAAGGAGCCACCATTAAAACACGACCCCCACCCTCCCCGCCCCCACACTTACAATGGGCGCGCGCATCTTCTTTTGGTGTCGTGGACCCTCAGTGCCAGCCTCGGTCTCGCTTTATCAGCTGCGTAAATACCTGAGGCAGGGGGAGCAGGGATTGAGTATGTCATTAACAGGCAACAGCGTCCCCAAGCCCCCAGCGGACGGTGGCATGTGGCGGGGAGAACTTGGAGTGCGCCTCCGACCCCGCCGGGAACAAGCACCTCGCTCCCTTCCAGTGTCTCGCTGACTCCCTCCCCGCTCCCGCCCTTGGCCTTGAACGGATGGATCCCTGGCAGGGGGCAGGGATGGTGCACGGACACCCGACACCCAGGCGGCGACACCCTGGCGGCGGGCGGGCTGAGTCGGGCGGGTACGCAGGAGGCCGCGGCGGCTCCGGGCTGCTCCTCCAACTGGTTTACTCTCGCCCGCCCGGCTCAATCCTCCACCTCCAGGGCAGGCCTCGGCCGGGAGGAGCATCCCAAGCATCTCACCCTTCTCTGCGTCCGAAAGGACCGCTCCACCCACCGCGCGGCCGCCCCGGCAGTGGGAACCGCTCTAATGGCCGCAGGGTCCGGGCCAGCGTGAGGTCACCCGGCCCCTCCCCGTGTGGCCGGCTAATGGGAGCGGCGCAGAGCTCCCTGCCCCGGCCTCTGGGGACCGCAGGATGCCTCCCGCTCCCTCTGCGCCGCCTCTCCCCACGCCCTCCTGCGGCCCGGATCCAGGCCCTGCAACCCGCCTTCGCCGCCGCCCTGCGCCCCGCACTCCCCGGCGCCCAGCCTGGGTACACGTTGCGCTCTGCCTGAAGTCCGCATACCCATCCCACCGCAGGGTCACGATCGGTTTCCCTATCTCTTTCGTTCAAGAGTGGCCGCGTAGTTTAAAAACGGATGGAGGCC